TTTTCAGTCCAACCATACGGCCAAATACTTGTAGTCACCAAAATTTTAATCAACACGCATTAAACATCTATATCTTAATGAAGCAACGAATCAAGGAAACCAAACTCATTTTTAGTCGTGAAAATCTATCCAAGAAGATTAAACCAAACCATATACAAACAACAATTAGCAAAATAAAACTGAGCAAACCAAATACTAATAGGACACACTCCAAAGCAGAGGAATAAAACGTTAACTTGGACGATCAACAAAACAGAACACAAACTGATTAATGAGGCTATCAAAACAAAATCATGACTTGAAGCAAAAAAAATAGAGGAAAGGGAGAAATAAACCTCGAATAAGTCTGAAATTCAATTGTTTGACAGCTTTGAACTCAAAAATGTGACGAACCGCGGACGGAAACTTGAATCGACGGTTAGGAAGACCAAACTGTTGTGTTTATGGAGTTTGAAGGCTGATTTCTGACTGATAAAGGCTGGTTTTAGAGCTGGATCTTTGATGAAGAAGAAAGCTGCATTTTTTTTTATCGGATCTCGTTTTTATGCTCTGTTTTTTTCTTGTTCCTCTTTCCCCTCTATTTCTCGTCTCTTTCATTTCCGTTTTCTTCTTTCTTAATTTTCTGTCCTTTTTCCAAATCTTCCTCCCTTCGTTCTCTTCCTCCCCCTTTTTCTTTTTATAGGGAATAATATTAGTAGTGTTTTTTTGTTCCCTCGATTTGGAGTGGGGGAACGTGGTTTATATATTGTGTGTGTGTGCAGATGGAGATGTGAGGGAGTGGGGTGAGACGTGAGTGAAGTGGGGAAGTGGGGAAGTTGGGAATTGGGTAAGATCTCTTTTTTTATTATTATTAAAAATATGTTATTTTATTTACTTCTTTTATTTAAAGAAAAGGTAAGGTAAAATACATAAATAAAAATTTGAACCCACTTCTTTTAGACTAAGAAAAATATAAGGAAATTAAATATTTGCATATAATTTAAATAATACTAAGAAAAGATACCATAACATACTTATTTGAATTCAAATTAAAAGAAACCAAGTATTTTTTTGCAAATTTTCTTTTCTCTGGTAAATAGAAATAAACTTATACCTTAAGAATGTGAATATTGTTTTTGTAGTTTTTAATATTTATTTTCAAATAAAACCTATTAATAGTAAGATAAAAGTTTAAAATATTAAGATTAGACCTAAAAGAAATATTTTACACTAAAATAGTATCGAATTTGGGTGCGGTCAAAAATTAGGTGTTCACACGGGTTAGCTGGACTGGGCCCCGCCAGATGGCGTGGGCTTTCGCACACAAGAATCTAGGAATCAAGCGAAATTCTAGTCTTATTGCCCTAAATCGCCAACAAATGAGGAACGGTCATGGCGATGTCTTCACTATTGTTTTTTATGTCGGTTTTGATGGGTCGACAAAATTCTAGGCGATCCAGTTCTGGTGGCCCGGGCCCCACCAGATGGCGTGGACTATAGTCCACAAAAATCTAGGAATCGGGCGAAATTCTAGTTTTATGGCCCTAAAACGCCAGAAAATTAGAAACGGTCATGGTGAGGCAGTGACTAGTGTTCCTTAGATAATTTTTGATGAGCCGACAAAATTTGAGATGATCCGGGCCTGGTGGCTCATGCCCCACTAGATGGCATGGGCTATAACACACGAAAATCTGAGAATTAGGAGGAATTTTTGTTTTATGGCCCTAAAACGCCAAAAAATAGGGAATAGTCATGGCGAGGCGTTGACTATTGTTCATTAGATCGTTATTTATGGGCCAGCAAAATTATAGGCGATTCGGGTCCGGTCTCCCTGATGCATGCAAATAGAAAAACTTGTTGGGTCCAAACGCACACGCAAGTATACGCGGGCGACAAGTAATAATGTAAAGTATCGTTCCCACGAGGATTTATGATCAACTATTGTCAAATGAAGCTATTTATAAATCTAATGCTCAAGTGAATGAGAAGAAGATGATTGTGATTTTTGTAACTAAATTACTATGAACTAATAAGCACTTAAGAAATTAAGATCGCAAGCAGAGCAAACAAACACTTAGCGAGAATTCAATGAGATGGAGATATTCCAGAGTTATGGGATTAACGTCTCTCCTATTGCGTTTTTTGGGTTGATGTAATCACTTGACTTATCTAATTTGTTGATTAGCAGGGTTTATTATGCTCGCGAAGTTCTTTCGACGATTCGTTTGCCTATTCAATCGAACCTAAGACTATATGCCTATAGAATCAAACTTGACAAGAGCGCATATATAGTTCCTGCAAAAATAACCAAGTAAGGCAACTAGAATATGTCTATCCTAATCACGAATCTATTCTCCGATGCCCGGATTCAAGAACTTACTCTATTCAACCTTATATGCAATCTATAGTTCCAACTTTCGAGTTCAACTATAGATTCGTAGATAGTACTCTATTGTTAGCTACGCAATAGAATAATTAAGTGCAAGAGTGAATAAACAAATTAATATGATAAAGTCAAGCAAAACAATCAACCGTCAAATTACATTAGTCAATAATGACCCATAACCCCAGAATAATGAGGTTCCTAGCCACTTATATTCATAACAGTCATCAAAATATTGTTTTCAAATATAAAAGCTATGAATACTAGATGAAGAATGGAAGAATTAATGAATTCCATGACCCTGAGTGTTTCGTGCTTGTGTTTCTCTCTCAAAGTTGCGTCCCCCTCTCCAAAATAGGTTTAGGTTTTCTTTTATACGAGTTGTGGGCTGCTTCGGGTAAAAAATAACCAAGTCTCAGGCGAAATAGGACAACTTCATGTCACCAGCACCCAGGGTAGCGTGGGGCGCTAGCCCTGGCGCTGGAAATTTGGAGCTTCTGGAAACTGGGCCATAGGTAGCGCCCCATGCTACTTGTGGCGCTACTTTGTGGCTTTTTCTCGGTTTTTCCCCTTTTCACTTCAATTCATGCACCTTCGTCCCACATTGCCTCCGGATTATTCCTACACATAAAAATACCACAAATTAGCACAAATTATTACATTACACATCCGAAATTTACAAAACATGAGTAAAATGCGAGGCAATATGCATATAAATATACATACTTTAAGATGAATATCAACACTCCACACTTAAACTCTTGCTAGTCCTCGAGCAATGGAACTATAACTACACCCCAACAACGTACATCTCAAATAGGGAAGAGCAATTCAATTTTTCAATCATACACTCTACCTTTGACTATAATTGATACCGGCAATCAAGCATGAATATACGAAATTCACATTCTTCCCATTTTAAACATGCCCAAGTATACACAATGCAATTCAACCAATTTAAACAACATATCCGCAACCACCCTACCTCAAGAGCCGACTTGTGACCACTAAGAATTCTCAACTCTGCATTCACCAACAAGAGAAGTTTACAACACTACCAATCCGTCATGAGATCAAATGCCCTCACCACAAATAAAAGAGTGAGTATAGAAATACTTCACACGTTCAAATATGACACTGAACATAAATTAAGACATCACACAATTGAACAAAATTTGCTCACTCTCACAAAGAATTTCATGTGCATTCTGTGGTCGTACCATAAGCTTACCCGTAGTGTACATCTCTACTAATCTAAGCTAGCCAAGTCTAGGATCAATTAGGACTTTAAGGTGGTAATGTAGGCTAAGGAACGGGTAGGATACATTTAGGAATAGTGATTAACCCTCCTAAGTACTTTAGTACATTATACTCAAGAATCGAGCACTTTTTCTTCTCAACCAATTCACTCGCCACAAACCATACAAAACATAGCCCTCTTCTTCAATTAAGCACTTCTACATCCCCATTAACACGGATTAATAAAATTAGGAGGTGTGTATTTTTTGCCTCCTCTACTTTATTTGTACTTTTTTTCTTTCTTTTCTTGTAATTTTTTCTTTTTTTTTTCTTCTACACACACTCCATACATTAAGGTTCATCGGCTAGTGGCCTTTCTCACAATTTTAGTGCACCTTATGGGCCCTTCGAAAGCTACTTCTTAAATCTTTCACCTTACTTCTTTTAGCGCCTAAGTGACTTAGTAGGTAAAGGTTCAACAAGCTCAAATTAAGAATAAAATAGGAATATGACTTGTAGTGTGGGTGCCGAAGAAAAGGTCTATAGGCTCAAAGGGGCTAGCAACGGAAAATTTTTATTTGTAAGTGAAAAGCACATCTATGATCAAGCAAGAAATGCCTACGTCATCTCCTAGACTAGAACAACTTAATGATTTCGCTTCGATTAACACACGGGGCAAGTTTTAGACTACATAGGTTAACACAAAATAACACAAATTCTTACACACACTTTGCACATGACTCAATCAAGACGGTTCTGTTCAACTCTCAAGTCAAGCAAGCACATATAGTTGAGAAATTTTAAGCAATAATGCACTAAGTGACATACCAGTCAAACAACTGAGAAAAAGGCATCATAGAGTAGGCTAATTATTTTACTTAGGCATTACAATTCAAACAAATATGAAAGAAGACAACGTGCATGCCATAGGCTAATGTGCCAGCACCAAACATGTCAAAAGGTATTTTCGAGCAACTCAGTTTTCTTCCATCTACTCCTAAAAAAAATAAAAATAAAATACCCGATTCAAGCTACCCCCTTGGAAAAGAACCGGCATCCAAAGAAAAACCAAGGGATACTACCTAACAATCCTAAAAAAACAAAAGAAGTTTCTTGGGTGTTTTTAGTCAGACTTTAATCCCTAAAGAAAATTCTACAAAAGATCCATCGCCGAAACGTCCGAGCCCCGACAACTTTTTTTCTTGAAGTCTACTACTCTAAACTAGACTAATTCTAACTATGGGTTCTAAAATAAAACTAATAAAATAAAAAAATAGTTTATACAATTACAAATCAGAAAGTAGTTCCCCCACCCCACACTTATGATATGCATAATCCTCGATGCATGATCACATAGAAAAATATTAAAACAAGGATGAGAAATACTCCCTGAGACCCTCTAGGGCCTAGCTAGCACATGATACTCTCGCGCTCTAGGAGGATCTTCTCTTTCCTCTCTGACCCTTTTCTCTTTTACCTTTACACATTCAGCTCGCAACACCACTTCTTCTAACTCGAGTTTCTTTTCCATGCTAATAGGCTCCACACAAGGACCTTGTTCTATTAACTTTGATTCTACAACAGAGATCATGCACAGATCCTCATAATGTGTAGGAAGGTTAAGCGCCTTGTACAAATTAAATGTGATTTCTTCATCATGCACTCTCATCTTTAGCTTATCCTCCCTCACATCAATAAGTGCCCCTCCAGTGGCCAAGAATGGTCGCCCCCAAATAATTGAAACCTCCTCATCAGCCATGTAGTCAAGAATAGTGAAATCTCTGGGAAAGATGAACTTCCCTACTCGCACTAGCACATCTTCAATAATTCCTTCAGGCACTGCTAATGACCGATCTGCTAGCTGTAGAAGTACAATAGTAGGCCCGGGGGCTCTAAGATTGAGCTTCTTGAATACTGATAGTGGCACCAAATTAATGCTCGCTCCCAAATCGCACAAGGCTCTACCAACCTCGTGTTTTCGAATCGCCAAGGGGATTGTAAAACAACCTGGATCCTTCAACTTCGGCGGGAGAATACTCTGTACCCTAGAACTGCACTCCTCAATAAGTGCCACAGTCTCAAACTCTGTCAACCTCCTTTTGTTAGCCATAATATCTTTGATGTACTTAGCGTATTTTGGGATTTCACGTAGCACATCAACCAATGGGAGATTCATTTGAATTTGGCTCACTATATCAAGAAATTTGCTGAAAATCTTGTCATCACTTTTCTTCTTTAATCTTTGTTGGAAGGGAGGTGGTGGCCTTGCAATTGGAGTCTTTTCACTTTCTTCAATTTCTTTCTCAGTTTCCACCACAGTTTGAGAAACTAGTTCGCCCTTAGGAGTGACTTTTTATTTCTTTATTTTTGGTACTTTTTCTAATTCTCTTCCATTCCTTAAGGTTACAGCATTCACCTAAGGATTCTTATCTGTATAAGTTGGAAGGGCCCTTGCTGGTCGGGTATTTTGTTGTGCAGCCAACTGCCCAATTTGCCTCTCTATATTTCAAAATTTAGTCTTCAACTGCTGATTGTCTGTTCGAAGTTGCTGGTTGTCAATCAACAGCTTTTTCAACATATCATTAATGCTTTCTTCTACCTGTTGTGGTGGCCTTTCGAGCTGATTGTAGTTTCCTTGGGGTCTGTATTGATTATGACTAGCCTGATTTCCACCCCATTGAGAAATTCGGGTGGTTTCTCCAATTGGGATTATAAGTATTCCCATATTGCGCATTTTGGTTCATTGGACCTCTAATCTGCTGGCCTACATAATAAATAGATTCTAGATTCACCGGACATTGGTCACTTGTGTGACCTTCTCCACAAATTTCACAACATATGGCCATCCTCTGAACCTGCTGCATTTGATGCCCTTGACCCATTTGTAGTGAAACTGTTCAGAAAAGTATGAATCTCACTGTATGTCTTCTGCATGCAACTTCCTCCACAAGCTGAGTCTAGATTCAATTTGGAGGTCACATCCCACCCATCCACAAAAGTATGTCCCAACACCTCATAAGTCTGATAATGATGTGGGCAGTCTCTAAGTAGTTTCTTGTATCTTTCCCAGACTTGACGAATAGTCTCTCCATATCATAGTTTCTTGTATCTTTCCCAGGCTTGACGAATATTCTCTCCATCTCGTTGTTGAAACCCAAGAATCTGGCTCCTCTGCGACGTTGTTTTCTTTGTGGGGAAAAACATTATTAAGAACTTTCGTGCCAGATCATCCCAAGTTTGGATCGAGTTTGTGGGCTCTTTGTTTAACCATTCCTTAGCTTCCCCAGCAGTGAAAAGGGAAACAGAGTTAGTCTGACATAGTCCTTGGAGACGTTCAAATAGTTGTATGTATCCGTAATCTCCAAAAAGTTCTAAATGTGCCGCTGCGGATCTCTATGAGATAGACCCACATACTGCCCCTTGGACTGAATTAGCTGCACCGTGTATTGTTTGAGCTTAAAGTGTCCTGTGATGTCAGACTTTACGATAGCCTGAGTCATGTTAGAAAGAATAGGCCTTGCAGCCTCAATCACCAGCCATTCTTCATTTCCTGCCATCTCGATTGGCTGTGGTTAGACTACAATACCTAACTCTGCAATTCTTGCTCTTTCTTCCGCCTCCCTCCTTAACCTGTGGAAGAGTCTTTCGGGCTCAGGATCAGGAGGAGAAAGGTTGTTCAAACTGTTGCTTCTTCTTAGCATTCAAGGTGAACACCTGTAGAGTCAGAATTAGTCAAACGGATTAACACTAGAACTAAAACAAATAATAAGAGCTTATTTCAAAAAAATAACTAATTTCTAAATCCCCGACGACGGTGCCAAAAACTAGATGGGTCCAAACGCACACGCAAGTATACGCAGTCAACAAGTAATAAAGTGATAAGAAAGTATTGTTCCCATGAGTATTTATGATCAACTATTGTCAAATCTAAGCTATTTAAAAATTTAATGCTCAAGTGAATGTGAAGAAGATGATTGTTATTTTTGTAACTATATTGCTACGAACTAATAAGCACGTAATAAAATAAGATCACAAGCAGAGCAAACAAACACTTAGCGAGAATTCAATGTGATGGGGATATTCCTGGGTTATGGGATTAACGTCTCTCCTATTGCGTTTTTCGGGTTGATGTCATCACTTGACTTATCTAATTTGTTGATTAGCAGGGTTTATTATGCTCGGGAAGTTCTTTCGACGATTTGCTCGCCTATTCAAGCCAACCTAAGGCTATATGTCTATAGAATCAAACTTGACAAGAACGCATATATAGTTCCTGCAAAAATAACCAAGTAAGGCAACTAGAATATGTCTATCCTAATCACAAATCTATTCTCCGATGCCCGGATTTAAGAACTTACTCTATTCAACCTTATATGCAATCTATAGTTCCCACTTTCGAGTTTAACTATAGATTCGTAGATAGTACTCTATTGTTAGCTACACAATAGAATAATTAAGTACAAGATTGAATAAACAAATTAATATGATAAAGTCAAGCAAAACAATCAACCGTCAAATTACAATAGTCAAGAATGACCCATAACCCTAGAATAATGAGGTTCTTAGCCACTCATGTTCATAACTATCATCAAAATATTGTTTTCTGACAAAACAATGATGAATACTAGATGAAGAATGGAAGAATTGATAATTCTGTGATCTCGAGTGTTTCGTTCTTGTGTTTCTCTCTCAAAGTGGCATCCCCCTCTCCAAAATAGGTTTAGGTTTTCTTTTATACGAGTTGGGGGCGTCTTCAGGTCGAATTAACCAAGTCCGGGTGAAATCGGACAACTTCATGTCACCAGCACCCAGGGTAGTGTAGGGCGCTAGCCTTGGCGCTGGAATTTTGGAGCTTCTGGAAACTAAGCCACAGGTTGCACCCCGCGCTACATGTGGCGCTACTCTGTGGCTTTTTCTCGTTTCTTCCCCTTTTTGCTTCAATTCACGCACCTTCGACCCACATTACCTCCGGATGATTCCTACACATAAAAACACCACGAATTAGCACAAATTATTACATTACATGTCATAAATTTACAAAACATGAGTAAAACGCGAGGCAATATGCATATAAATATACATACTTTAAGCCGAATATTACGTGGGCTATAGCATACAAAAATCTGGGAATCAAGCGGAATTTCAATTTTATGGCCCTAAAATGCCAAAACACGAGAAACAGACATGGCGAAGTGATGACTATTGTTCCATAGGTCATTTTTCATGGGCTGACAAACTTTTAGGCGATCCTACTCTGGTGGCCCGGTCCACACCAGATGGCATGCACACAAATATCAGGGAATCGGGCGCAATTCCATTTTTATGGCCCTAAAATACCTAAAAATGAAGAACGATCATGGAAAGGTAGTGACTATTGTTCCTTAGGTCATTTTCGATGGGGTGACAAAATTTTAGGCAATCCGAGTCAGGTGGCCCGGGCCCCACCAGATGGCGTAGAATATAGCACACAAAAATCTAGGAATCGGGAGGATTTACATTTCTATGGCCCTAAAATGCCAAAAAGAGGAATGTTCATAGAGAGGTGATGACTATTGTTCCTTAGGTCGATTTTGATGGGCTAGTAAAATTTTAGGTGATCCGGGTTCGGTGACTCAGTCCCTAGCAGATGGCGTGGGCAATACCACACTAAAATCTAGGAATCAGGCGGAATTCCAGGTTTATGGCCCTAAAACGCCAAAAAATGAGGAACAGTCATGGAGAGGCGATGAATATTGTTCATTATGACATTTTTGATGGAACAGAAAAATTTTAAGCGATCCGGGTCCGGTGGCCCGGGCCCCACAAGATGGTGTGGGATAGAACACGAAAACTTTGGAATCGGACAAAATTCCAGTTTTATGGCCCTAAAACGCCAACAAATGAGGAACGTTCATTCCGAGGGTGTGACTATTGTTACTTAGGTCATTTTTGATGGGCCGACAAAATTTTAAGCGATCCGTGTCCGGTGGCCTAGGCCCCAGCAGATGGAGTGGGATATAGCACACGAAATTTCGGGAATCGGGTGGAATTCCATTTTTATGATCCTAATATGCCAAAAAATGAGGAACGGTCATGGAAAGGGGGTGCCTATTGTTCCTAAGGTCGTTTTTGATGGGCCGCCAAAATATTAAGCGATCCGGGTCCGGTTGTCACGACCCAAAATTCATTAAAGGTCTTGATTTTCCTTCAATTAAATAGTAAAAGATGGAATTCACAGTGTAAATAATAATATTTTGAACAATTTCAATACAAAACAACCCATAATCACCCCAAAACCCGGTGTCACAAGTGCATGAGCATCAACTAGGAATATAAAATAAAATACAGCATCTGTCCGGAATACAAATTTGGACAGGAGAAATATAAATACTCTGAAGGAGACTCTGCCGGTTGTGGGTCGTAATATGGAATGCAGCTCACGTAAATCCCCACATACATACACGCCTCTGCTCTCACAAGGCCACTAGTCACATATAGCACACGAAAATTTGGGAATGCGGCGAAATTCTAATTTTATGGCCCTAAAACTACAACAAATGAGGAACGGTCATTGGGAGGTGGTGACTATTGTTCCTTAGTTCATTTTTGTTGGGCCAACAATATTTTAGGCGATCCATATGGTGTAAGTTATAGCACATGAAAATCTGGGACTCGGGTAGAATTCTAGTTTTATGGCCCTAAAATGACAAAAAAGGAGGAACGGTCATGGCGAGACGGTGACTACTGTTCTCATTTTAATATTTTTGAAGTCATATTTTCCTTCAATTAAATAGTAAAAGATGGAATTCACAGTGTAAATAATAATATTTTTAATAATTTCAATACAGAACAACCCATAATCACCCCAAAACCCGGTGTCACAAGTGCATGAGCATCAACTAGGAATATAAAATAAAATACAGCATCTGTCCGGAATACAAATTTGGACAGGAGAAATATAAATACTCTGAAGGAGACTCTGCCGGTTGCGGGTCGTAATATGGAATGCAGCTCACGTAAATCCCCACATGCATACACGCCTCTGCTCTCACAAGGCCACTAGTCACATATAGCACACGAAAATCTGGGAATGGGGCGAAATTCCAATTTTATAGCCCTAAAACGACAACAAATGAGGAACGGTCATGGGGAGGCAGTGACTATTGTTCCTTAGGTCATTTTTGATGGGCCAACAAT